AGATAGCTTTTCATATCCAAGAATAAATATAAGCTTATTTCTTTAGCTTACCTTCCGATTCTTGATCAAATAATTTTTTTGCGACGCTGTTTTGCTTAGCCTACAAATAGTTTTTGAGATGAAAAAAAGTTCAAATTAGTTTAATGAGATAAATGAAAAAGAAAGGCCAAAGGACGTTCAAGAATGAAAACGTGCATAGAATAAAAATGCTCGGTTCCGTACTCTCCATGGCTGCTGGACATCTTTCATCAGCGCGGAAAAGTTATTGACAGCTCGCCCGCTTCCAAAAGCTCCGCCCCAAGTGAGACAAACTGTCTCACTTCTCCGAGTTTGTCTAGGCCTCAAAAACATTCTCGGACCACGTGACCCGAAACGCATCGGCCGCGCACAATAATGAGGCCTAGGGACTAGGCAAGTCTTCCCCGTCGTAAAAGCAGTTCTCATGTTTTTGTCAAATTAACTTTCATGTAATTGTTCTCGGACTATTCAATAATGGATAAAGTTGTTTTGTCTCGATAGTTTTGACCAACTAGTTAGATTTTACTAAAACAATTTAATATTCCTCTCGCCCTCATGGCCTCTAAGTTAATAGCCCAATTGTTAATTAACAAATTGGAGACTAGCCTGCAGTGCAGGCGTATTTTGGGTGGGCGAAACCTTGTTCGTCTTCGTAATGTTGTTGTAGCCGCCATCTTTGATTTTATGACAGTGGAAGATTGGGGAGAGTAGAAATAGTGACCCTTACGGTCAGTACGGTAGGTGCCCCATTTCCTCCTCTCTTCGGGAAGTTTCAACATGGCTCTTTCGCGAGCAAATTGCGCACTCAAAGAAAACGCCTGCACTGCAGGCTAACCGCAAGTCTAACTGTGTACTTTAATTCGGCTACCTGTGCAAGACATGTGAAGCAAATCAAATTTGGCGGCCATTTTCTCTGTTTTACCTTGCTTTCATGCAAGAATCTTGCTTCATTTTGAAGTTAAACCAGCACCACCAACCTTCCACTTCAACACAGAAATCTCGACTGTCTCGACTGCACTCCGGCGGCACTAAAACACGGAATCACGGAAACGGAAACGGAAAAGGAATACGGAATCACATATCAATGATAGAAAATTAAAGAATTTCCATGAATTTCACATTACATAATTTAGTACAATCCAAGAGAATTTGTTTAGTTTTCATAAGGTTTGCTGTAGTGTGGGTTATTGCACTGCAAGGCCGACGAAAGTAATTTTACGAGTAATTTTTATTAATGAGTTTATGGACTGAATAATACAGTTAAATATTACCTTTGTGGCTAAATGTCAAGAATAGTAGTAGTTGGCCTCAGACTACACCCCGTGATTGTCCCCAAACTGAATACTCAACACATGTCCGAAGCTGAATACTGATGGCGTACTGGTGTACCAGTGATTGAGTTTACGTCGACGTCCGTATTTTTGTTGAAGAGGCTTACTATAGAACATGGCGCATTATTTTGATGTAATCAGTTGCGGAATCAAGGAAATGCATGCACAATTCTCTCTTCTCTCTAGACTCCACACCCGGAGGGGGAAGTACTTTAGAATTTTTGGGTGGGGATGAGCTGCTGGGAGCCTAGAACCCTTAGCCTATACCAGAGCTCATTCCAGTGAATGTTATAGCAATTACCCTATACTAGACTAAACTCTTAAAATCCCCCTTACCCCAGAGTAGCTGTTTTCCAGAAACTACTGAGGTCACAAACACAGTCCAGCCAAAACAAAACCGATTTGATTTTTTCATGTTTTTGAGTGGCAATTCCCGGTTTTCCAAGTCTAGACTAAAATCTTTAACCAATTGATCAGTTTCCTGGAAAATGATACCCTATTCTAGACCTAAATTCTCTGATTTATATACCCTATCCCAGAGTAAACTGCTTGAGAACCATTACCCTGCACAGCGGCACATACTGTATAGCCTATACATGGCAGTACCCCCCACCCCCGCCGGACTCCACAATGTCATGGTTCTCTTGAGTAAGTCGTGATAAATAAAACTGAACGCTGCTGAAGACAACCCAGAAAAGACACTCAGGAAAAACTTGACGGCGATGCCTTTCAGGTATAAACGACGCCTCTGTCGATTTAAACAAAGTGTGTCTCCGTATAACTTACCTTTTTCTTAAGGAACTAGTTTTTGTCAGTGACGTTTTTCTCCTCGCTTTGCTCTACCATGAGAATTCGCATTCATTGCCGGAAGTGGTATCAAGAGTCTTTTCACCGGAATCGACTCCTCTAGTGATACAGCCGTCTCCTCTACTCAGCTAATTTATTCATTTATGCCTTTTTTTTATATGTTTATTTATTTTATTGTCATTGCTGATATATTGTTTTTCAAATCGATCCCTTGGAACCTTCTTTCACGGATTCTGTATTCCATTTCCGTTTCCGTTTCCGGGTTCCATGTTTTAGTGCTACCGAAAAAAAACTTGCGGGATTTATGCCATTGACTATTCCAGACTATATGTAAACTGCTTGAAAACTGTATATATGGCTGTACCCCCCGCCCCCCCCCCCGCCCCGAGAGTATTTCCTGCCTTTATCTGCATGCTGATCACTAAGATCATAACTGACAAGGGTTCGAATCCTGTACATTTTTCTCAGGCTTTCTTTTAGCAACTGCTAAAGTTGCATCTATAACTGCGATGATCATCTTTCATATAATTCTTCACCCCGCAGTTCACATACATGATTTTCAAAATTCATAACTTCATCATCCAAAAAAACTTTATGGCCTATACTGCCACAGATTAGGGTCACAAGACTGTTATGTATAGCCGCTCAATTTTGTGCCACTTATCTATAATTTCAGAAAATTAACAGTTAGTTCAACAAAAATAATCAATTTAAATACACTAGCTACATCCTAGGAAAAAAATCTGTAGCCCAATTATTAGCCTGCGTAGCAAGCGTTTCTGTGCGGTTTAGGCGAAAAGAACGAGGAACGAGAGTCAAAGACCGCGAGAAAAGTGGCGCAAGTAAAAGAGCGGGGAGGGGGTGGGGAAGAAAGGAAGGAAACTTGCAGACAAACCCCGGGATTTTGAAAACCACCCACTTGGTCTGTCACGCCTGAGTTCGCGAACCGACATTTGATGCTGTCATCAACTGCCATAATTGACCAATAAAATGTTTGGCCTTCCGTGGAGCGGAAATGAACTTTAGAGGAGGCGTTTTTGAAACCAAAATATTTTTTTTTGTATTTTGGAGCGCGTGGACGGCGTTAATGGTGAAATCTCAATGAATCCGAACGATCAATGCAGGCCGACCAGAATAAACAATAACCACAGAAAATTAATATGCGTGTCACGTACCAAACATGACCTCTCAGTATGAAACAAAGCTTTGATCGACACATGTCAACATTGTTCGACTAGCTGAGCCAATCAGGCGCTGCGTTCGCTGGCGAACGCAGGTTTTCAAAATCGAGGGGTTTGTCTGCAAGCGTTTCCTTCCTTCCCCTCCCCCTCCTCCCTCTTTCACTTTTTGGCTCTCGTTTCATTTCTCGCGCGGTCAAAACCGAAAGTCCCCTTCCTCGGTATTTCTTTGCTCCGAAACCAAACGGAAACGCTTGCTACGCAGGCTACCCAATTATCTCTTTGCTTACCTACTACTTTCACATTATACCATGGCATCACTGTTGTATAATGGACCTGCTGGTTTTCTCAGCCAAGTATTCCAGTAAAGGATAAACTCTAAGCAATTGAAAGTGATATTTCAGAAGAGACACACACTTAGAAATCAATGACAATCATTTGTAATAAATAGTGTATTTGTTGAAGGGTGGCTGGAGGACAATAGTTTTCAGCCGTTTTTCAGCACTTTAAGTGCATGCTTTGATGAACCCGCAATACCTAAAAGGTTTATCATTAATTTTCAGTCAACAATCAACTCAAGGTGAGGAATACACATAGATGTAACTACAACTCCAACTTACATGTATACTTACATGTATATTTACATCATGAGTGATAAGAATGTCTAAAGAACTTGTGATTTCAAGAGAGTCATTATGTTTCTTTTTGTTGTGAGAATGATACAGCTGTAGATAGTCAAAATGCTACATTTCATACTCTTGAGCACTGTTTGAGACAACTGATACCCCTGGCAAAAAATTCTGTTTGTTAGTTTTCACTTACTAAAATAGTCTGGCCTTTTTAAGATTTGGGCCTAAAAATTGTATCAATTTAGTCAGTCAAAGTTTGAGAACATTCACAGCACAAACTATTCTTAACCCAGGGTGTTAACAGGAGCACTCTCCATTTCCCTTCCCATCTCCTCAAAACTAAAGCCACCAAAGTACATGGAATGAAGGGTTTGTCAGTCCTGGCACTCCACAAAGATCTTTGTATGATGCAACCGCCAGACAGATGAAATGGCAACAAACAACAACAAGATGGGTTGACACTGCAAAAGCAGACCTGCCAAGAAAAACTGGGAGACTGTACAGTACCGCAAGTGATCCCCAACCGCAAATGATCCCGAGACCGCAAATGATTCCCAAAATGGACCGCAAATGATCCTCGACCGCAAGTGATCCCCAAAGTTGACCGCAAATGATCCCGAAAGAAAAATAGGAATGGCTTAGACTCGAGTTAGCGGATCATCGTGTCTATTTTATTATTATTACAAAAAGTAAGATTAAACGCTAAATTTCAGTTCTAAAATAAATACATGAATTAAAACTAAATGAAAAAATCATTCAAGTGTTAAAACGAAGTCGGTAGGCAACAAACGACTTTTACCTCATGCCAAAATGCTGCTTGTTCCAGTGAATTTTCTCTCTGGCGGGTAGATTATACCTCTGAAGGAAAACGTTTTGTCTGAGCAAATGTGATTTTTGCCGCTTATTTCATACTGAGAGGTCATGACACGCGTTTTCGGCAGTTTTTGTAATCAGTCCCATAAAATCCATTCCATTCCATTCCTCAAGTTTTCACAGGATTTGCGGTCAACTTTGGGGATCACTTGCGGTCGAAGATCATTTGCGGTCTCGGGATCATTTGTGGTTGGGGATCATTTGCGGTACTGTACAAGACTCATGAAAAAAAAAAAAAACTGGAGATTCTACAAAAAGTACGTGAAATTCTGTTTTTTCCTGATCAAGATTTGGGGAGAGGCGGGGATAAGTATTTATTAAAATACTACCTTGTTTTATGCATGGTTCAATTTTACTTGTTACCATCCTCCCTGGGACAAGTCTAGCCCTTCAGGCCTGGGAGTAGGGAATTGTTTGCAGAAGTCCTGTCCAGGAGGGAAGGGGGGTGGGGCAAATAAAAAATATCCTCTCTTTGATTTTGCGAAGTACCAGTTATTTTTCGCGTGGTTTACGAAATGGTTGCGGACTTTAAGACTACATATTTTTAAGGAAAATTGCAGGAATTTGTCAAAGAGTGGTTAGAGAGGAATAATTTATCAAAATAAAAGTTAAAGTCTGTATTTAAAGGTACTTTTCAAGATTTGAAATGAATGTGCATATGATGCGTACTCATGGATCTATTTTCTGGGAAGGAAGGCAGAAATATTTCTTCAGCTTAGCTTCAAATAATGATAAGTTTTTATATGAAAACGAATACAAGGCTTTTGATATAATAATTATAATATAGACCGTTTTCACTGTCACGCAACAAAAAAATAAATTGGAAACCGTCCAGTGGAAGAAGCCAAGAATATGAAATGTTATAAAAGACTAATATATAAACAATTTGTCCAAGTCTCAGGTCTTTGTGGCTCTTAGTTTCTGAGTTATTTGCCGAAACGTTTTACGCACCCTTGTAGAGCTTTGTATGGAGACGCCATATTGGTGTACTGATTTGGTGTACCAATAATATTGCCGCCGAGAATATAGCAATACAATAGTGAGTTTACAATCTCGTCGCGCGCGAAGCGCAGTGTGTGAACCGCGCGTGGGTCCTAGCGAGCTGCAAAGTTGCGGGTTTCATCTTTACTTGTAAAAATCCGATGGTGTCCGTCATGACGTCATACAGTAGTTGACGTCACGGCGCATTTTTGTTTCTAGACAACATTCGACTGAAAGCAATTTCAAATTCCCATCAATGACCAAAGCACTCATGAAGAGCTGTGTTTTCATCGTCTGCAAAACAATGTTTACCATCGGTGAATCTCAAGCCATTTCTCATGCAAACAGAACAGCAAACACAAGAACGCCGAATTGTCAATCCTCGCAGCGGAAGATTTGACACCGAAAAATCCTCTGGAGCGAAGCCGCCGAGTTGAAATTCAACGGCGCAAGCAACAAAGATGGATGGAGATGGTACCAACAAACAGCGGAGTAGAGAGAACATCAGTCAATGAATTTCAAATGCTAAAGTTCTTTAAGAGCAAATGGAAGCGATTTTGGATAATTAGCCTTATAAACATATGAGCGAACATCGCGGTAACAAAACACGTTTTGCTCGCAGACGAGTTTGTACCTTATCGTCCTAGACTGTTAGGCTTCCATTCTCTACATGTAAATGCGATGAAATGCATTTACGTTGGGTTTTCACTGTCCAAACTGCAGTCATTCTTCTGAAAAATCTTTGAACTCATGTTTAATAAGGCTCGAAGGTTTTAATACTAAAAATTCCATATATATGCCCGTGATTTTCTCATTTCCTACCCATGACCCTCGCAGGTACACATCAGTGCACATATGATGGTGATGCACAGTGAACATAATGAGAGGAAGAAGGAAATTGTAGTAAACATTTTACTAGAAAATTATGGTACAAGTAAAAAAATGACACTCAGTCTGCACAGTCTGCAGTCTGCAGTCTGCATGGTCTGCGTTTCAACATGACCGCCGTTTATAGACAAGTCGCAACAAGGCTTGAACAGGCACCAGAATTCCCCATTGAATTTTCCATTTTATTCAGCAAGGTAACATTTCATTTCATTTCAGAATAAATAAATACATACTTTATTGTAACTCCCTAAAAGGGTTTGTCAGTTACAAGGCTACTAAAAACTTTGAAAGAATCTGAAGATTTAACATGGCGCTTAGCACCGTGGTAGGTGAAGGACCGCTGACCGGTGGTTAGGCGGCACCCTGGAATCTCAGTTGGTCGCGTTTTCTAGTATTCTCGGCTTTCACTGTCACGCAATCAAAAATAAAATTGCAAACCATTCGATACAGAAAGTCCCGAATCTTGGAAATAAAAGAAGATAAATAAGCAAAAGACCTCGCCAAGAATCAGGTCTGTGCGATATTTCATATGCGAGATATTAGGGAAAACGTTTTACCCAAATTTATAAAGCTTTGTATGGAGGCGCCATGTTTGTGTCCCTTTAAGGGGCACAAATATGGCCGCCGGAAACGAACAGAAACATCTGTTTTTGAGTTTTCCTACTAATGCGTTAATTCATCGCTTAAAAAACTCATAAACTATTAAAGTGATATTTATTCTGAGAGAAGGAATGTTTAGATAGCAAAATCTCCCAAAACTGGTAATGTTTTTAGCGCGCAGAAGAGCCGTGCCGGCCGCAAGCTAAATGCCGCGTCACGCAAAAGCCTAGAAATTCAAACGTCCTCTATCGCAAAACGAAGAACCCTTTCGAACCAAACCTCTGTTTAAATAAAGGTGTTTAGGTGCTGTAATACCTCATGAAACTCAGAATCTCAGAAGAATCGATAGTTTCTTAGTTTGAATTTTGATGACGTCATGTGAAAACCGAGAATTTTGTGAACGCAGAGTAAATTTCTCGAATAGGTAGTTATGCACAGGTTTATTAATACATTTGTACATGATCACTGCATCGCTCAAGTAAATTCTGCCATTAACAGGCAGCCAATTTAGCGCTTTGATACCTTGTGAGATGTCATCAAACTTTTTGAAGCCAAGAACAACACGGGCAGCAAAATTCTGCACAAGTTTGTTGATGTTATGTTTACTAGTATTTGACCAAACAGTTGAGCAACAATATAACTTACTAAAAACGAAAGAGCTTATAAGGAGATGATATGATTTTTCCCAAAAAACCATGAGATTGTGAGTGTTATTATGAGGCCGTGAGAAAAGTTTAAAAAACTCAAAAAGTTAAAAAGACTCGCAGGTGAATCGTGAGAGTTGGCAGGTCTGCGAATGCGACATTAAGACAAGCGCAACTACAATAGCAAAATACCGACACGGACATGGCTTCCTCTTAGCCTACGTAGCAGGCGCTTGGAAGTAGTGGGCGCAAGAAAGTACGGCGCTACGCAGGCTACTTCCTCCTCAATCCATGAAAATTCAGGCTAAGGACACATACGTACCCCCTACGTACCCCCGTGAGAGGGCTTGCACCTCTTCCCTACTGACTCACTCACAGTAATAAATTCCAGTCTGCAAAGTATTGGTAGGTGCACGCGCGAGTTTTTTTAAACATTATATAAGTAAGAGGGGCCTGAAAACGGCCTTGCACGCGCGAGATCTCGTCGAGTTCTGCAATACTCTCCCACACTCTGCAGACGGGAAACTGACTGTAATCAAAACCTGTCAGACCCTACTGCTGCCTACTAGCATGCAGAACTCTTGGATCGTTTCCCGTAAAAAAGGTGACTCTACCAGCAGGAAACTACTCCACGAGTTGTTTCTCTTACCTTGAGCAAAATAAAAGTTTCCTTGTTCTTTTCAGCTGAATTAAAAATTTTACTCCATGATTGCCAGGATCAAGCTCGATAACTTCCGGCTTCTCCCGAGCCTCTGGATCAAAACGAGGTTAAGGCGAGGTCGAGGTGAAGGCCAGGTTGCCAAATTCGAGTGCCTGGTCACTCAGTGCAATGGTCATCATGGCCGCCAATGTTTAAACGTCAAGGAAGCGAACCTTCTGTTCGGGTTTCGTCCTTCTCTTGATTTAAAATGGGGTCCTCAAAGAAACACAAAGAAAAAGACAAGGACAGAGACCGAGAAAAGAGGAGAGACAGGGAACGAAAACACCGTGAAAGAGAGAGTAATAAAGATCGTGACAAAGACTCGGATAAAGAAAGGAGGAGAAGGGAAGACAGAGCAAAAGAGAAGCGAAGTCATCCAGCAGCAGAGGACGGTGAAAGTGTAGAGAAAAAAAGGGCTAAAAGAGAAGAGTATGATGATTTATACGAGTATGCTGTGGAGGAATCGACGCGGGACGATGATAGCAACGGTATGGTCAATTTGTGTGCGTAATCAAATGGTGACGAGTGAAATTAGGGAATAATTATTCCCTAATTTCACGAGTTACCATTAGATTACCTATTAATATCATGGGTGACAAATTACGTTAGCAATCTTCGATTTTTAACATGTTTATGGTATACCTGCCAACTCTCACGCCTGCGGGTTGAAAACTTCGATCTCACGCCGGCTCACGCTTGCGGGCCAATTTCTCACGCCTGATTGAAAAGTGTGAGTTGTTGCCGTCTTGCTTGACACAATTTCCAAAAATATGGTTTTTTTTTATTATTATTATTTGAGCTAAATTTAAATCACACAAAACGTATACATATTACAACTTGACGAAACAAACATAAAAATAGCTGAGGTTACATTTATGCTTGAATTTGCTTAGCTACTTACAATAAAAGGAAAGGACGGTGAACGGTGGATGGTTCAACTTTGCAGGACACATGGCTAAATCAAAGCGATTAGCTAGAGGGTAAGCAGTGCAAGCAACAAATTTAAATAAGAAAAAATTTCCATTTGTTTGAAAAGACGGTGAAAGAATTACAGCGAGTGCTTCTTGTTTTTCCATCTCAATGACGGAATTTAGTTTGCCCTTAAAAAGAGTCATGGAGGGAGACGTACCTGCAAGTTTGCTCGAGTATATATGGTATCTCCCAATAAGGAGAACGAGAACAATGGTGGTAGAGGGTGCAAATTTAGAGAGTCCCTTCAGACGCAAATCGGTTAGTGCAGTACTCTTGAGGCCCTTTTGAATTAAAAATTGTTTAACATCGTTCCAAAAAGCAATTGTTGCCGAACATCTCAGAAATAGATGAGATATAGACTCTATTTCCCTTTGGCAAAAAGAGCATTTGTCTGATTGCTTTAATTAATTTTCTTTAAAAAATCATTGGTAGCAATCCTCCGATGCAAAAACTTATAATGAAAAGTTCTTAATTTTATAGAAGCGGTACAGTGGAAAGCGATTGTGTATGCATCTTTCCAATCAATATCATTTGCATTTTTGACTTGAAGGTCACTGAGCCACTTCTCTTGGCTTCTAATAGGTGTAGAGATTCTTTTTCTCAGTAGCGACTTTTAAATTAATAAAGTTGTTAACTTTACTTTTAGATGTTAATTCAGTTATAGATGTTCCCTCGGTGGAAACGACCTCGTACGTCGGTTCATTTTGCACCTTATTTATAAGTGATTTGACAGCTGAAGCTATACTACAATATTCTAGCCAATTTAACTCCTGAAAATTTGATTTCATGGCATCATATCCGAGGAGGTTCCCACCCTCATCTAATAGATGAGAAATTTTGCAGACACCATGATCCATCCAGTGTTTATGGAATACAGGCTGATTGTCAATTCTTACCAATGAATTAAGCCAAATAATCTGATCGCCCACATTTGCAATGGAGATGGCTACAGCATCAGAGAAATGCAATTCCGCCCAGATTGACATGACCTCACATACAAAAGGATTACGTATTTTTAACAGTGGAATGTCATCCTTTTGTAGATTACAAGAGAAAATAAATTTCCCACCATACATTTTAAGATTAACATCAAAGAAAAACTTCCATCTTCCATTATTTGTCGGGTCAAGGTACTTCTTGATCCAGGATGCTTTGAGAGACTTATTGAACGTATGTATATCAATCATCCTCAAACCACCCTGCTCATAATCCCTTATAATATGCTCTCTTTTAATCTTGTCGCCTTTACCGTCCCAAAGGAACTCAAAAAGAAGTTTGTTGACTGTTTGCAGTGCGTTTGTATAAGTAGGGAGCGGAGTCAAAATATAAATGAGTTGAGAGACCAGAAGACTTTTGATAAGAGTGATTTTTCCCAATAAGGTGAGTCTCCTAAATTGCCATGTTTCAATAACGTTTTTTATTTTCCCAATCCTCTCATCGTAGTTAGAACGGAGCATTACGTTTCTGTCCATTGCGAACCACACACCTAATGCAAAGACTTTCCCCTCCACCCAGGAGATATCAGGTTGTTGCACTCTATAGGGCCCCTGTTTTTCGCCGAACCCACCCAGAGCACTTTGGTTTTCTCATAATTTACCTTAAGGCCAGAAATCACTTGAAACCCATCTAGAACCTCGATTGCTCTACGAAAAGAGCCCACTGAGCCATCGAGTATCAATGTTGTGTCATCAGCAAATTGGCTTAGCTTGTGTTCGACTTCACCCGTCATAAAACCTTTTACATCTTTATCTCTCCTAATGAAGTTGGCTAATATCTCGGCCGATATTATAAATAGATATGGCGACATCAGGCAACCTTGCCTGACCCCTCTACCTAAAGAAAAGCTCTCCGAGACCCATCCATTGTTCTGGATAGCACTGGAGACCTGATTATAAAATAATCTGAACCAGTTTACTAGAGAGGGCCCAAAATTGAAATAGTTAAGGGCTCTTTCTATAAAAGCCCACTCTATCGAGTCAAATGCCTTCTCAAAGTCAATGAACATCAATAAACCAGGTTTATTCATATTACCTGCATAATTTATAATACTGTCAATTAGAAAAATATTTTCTGTAATAGAGCGTCCCTTCAAGAAGCCACTTTGATCACCATTGATAATTTTAGGAAGAACCCGCTTTGTTCGATTAGCTATCGCTTTAGACGCGATTTTATAATCACAGTTTAGAAGAGAAATTGGCCTCCAGTTTTTTAGAAAAAGAGGGTTTTTGTCCTTTTTTGGTAAAAGAGAAATAATACCTTGTCGCGCACTGCGTCACCGATAGTAGCCCTTTTTGAAAAGAGCAATATTAATAGCATTCACTAAAAAGGGGGCAAGGTCACTCCATGATACCTTATAAAATTCTGTTGGAAACCCATCTGAGCCTGGCGACTTGTTTGCTTCCATCGTTTTGAGAGCATTTAGACATTCATTCACATTTAAAAGACCTTCACAGGATGCTTTGGAATCCTCGTCGAGCCGCACAAAATTATCGTCTGGGAAAAACCGGAGATTATCGCTTTCATTGTGTATTGATCTGCTGCTATATAGTTTACTATAAAAGTCAACATATTCTTGGAGAACATCATTATCGGATGTTAAAGTTGTGTTGTCAGCTCGACAAAGTTGACTTATAACTTTGCGCTTAAAGTGACGTTTTTCTAAGTCGAAAAAGTATTTTGAATTTTTTTCACCTTCGTTACACCAGCGGGTTTTGGACTGTAAGATAGTTCCCTGGGTTTTATATTCGTACATTTTTTCCGAGTTCTCTTGTGCCTCAATCAGTTTTTGCTCCAATTCCCCTTTTAAAATGGGGGACATCGTGCCATCTATTTTTTTCCCTAGGTAGGTGATCGTATCGTATTGTTTGGTTTTGTCCGTTCGCCTGGACTTAGCTTTTTCTTTTCCGTAAGAAATTGATGACTCTCTAACCTTAAGTTTAATGATCTCCCACAGCAAGGCATCATCCACATCCTTGTCGTCTTTGTAGTCATCACATGTTTTAAGGATGACTTTCTTGATGCATTTTAAATATTCTTCGTCTGACAGGAAAGAGGTGTTAAATTTCCATAGCCCAGGGCCTCTGATGTTTTCGGTAAGACCCAAGCTGAGGCTTATCATAGAGTGGTCGGTTTTGTACCCGGCTACGATATCAGACTTGGCCACTTTACCTTAGAGATGACGACTTAAAAGAAAAAAGTCAAGTTGGCAGGATATAGATGGATTACACCTTCTCCAAGTAAATCTCTTGTCAAGGGGATTTTGGTCACGCCAGATATCGCCTAGGTCAAGGTTAATTTGAATTTTTTCTACTTCGGTGAGCGCTTTCGGGTGCGAGGTGCCGAGAATGCCACCTTCCTTGTCTAATTTAGCATTTTTAATCAAGTTAAAATCTCCACCCAAGATGATGTTATCGCAATCAAATTCAAGTATTCGGTTTTTAACATTTTGGAAGAAATGGGGGTCATCCTTATTTGGAGCGTAAAGATTAACAAGCGTAAAACATAAGTCTGTCATCTTAATGTCTAAAATGATGAAATGACCATCTGGGTCTGCGTAATCCTTGTTTAAAACGAAATCAAAATTATTTTTAAACAGAATGGCCACACCCGGCCTTCGACTATTTTCACAGCTAAAAAAAGATTTATAACCCCATTCATTTTGCCATAAATCACAGGTTTCCTTCGTACAGTGCACAGTGCACCTCTTCATTTCTCTTCACTTAGCTTGCCCTGATAAGCCTCTAACATTCAATGAACGTATATTTAAGAATTATAATGGTGAAAACCAATTATTATTATTCTGCATTGAAAAACCATCCACCGTAACAAATATCTATAAAGCCAAGCAAGGATGTAACTAACGAAAACTATACAGACGGCACACACGATAAAAGAAAAAAAAAGAAAAAACCTATTGCTGCGACTTCTACAAACGGACATTATACTACTACAGAGAGAGCATAAACAATACACTACTAGCATACACGGGCTCTTTCACTAGGAATGGAAAGTTATGAGCTGGTGCGAACTAAGACCTTTAGGTAGTGCTCCTAATTATTTGTACGATCCGGACGACTATTTGGTCGGAGCTCCGCCATAAACACATTTTTAAAGATGCAAAGCGATTACTCCTACTTTCTCTTTCCCTTAGTAACCACCATTACCCTTAAGCTTTAAATCATAAAACTTCAGTAAGTTAATTTTACAAATTGCAGCCAACAAAGACAAAAGAAAAGGCGTAGACTTATTGTAAAAAGCGTGCACTAGGTGACACAAGGCGCTACAAAATACAATGAAAATTACCACAGCAAAAATTTCCATATTAGCCCACCTGAATATTGGAAGAAAGAAGGAAAAACAGTAATAAATTAATTTCGAGGAATGTAGTTACCGTCAATGAATAATTTATCCGCATACTTTCTGCTGAAATAGGCTGTGCTGCCATTTTGTTTTGCGTTTTGAAGCTTCTTCATTTGGGCCTTTCTTAGCTGATAAAGTTCCTTCGGCATGTCCTCAAAAACACCATAATCTTTCCCTTTGAGTGAAGTCTTTGCACATAGTAGGACTTCTTCCCGTCGGAATATCAGAGAAATCTTGCAATAATAGGACGGGGCTTCTTACCTGCTCTTTTCCCCACTCGATGAATCCGCTGAAATTCGAATCTACTTACGGCATTCTCCAAATTAATTATAAATCACCTCTTTTGTATTCTCCACGTTATTATTTTCCGTCTCACTTTCGGCGTCGATCGGCGCATCACTTTCCTGGATTCCAAGAAACATAAGATTTTCCCTTCTACTGTAATGTTCCTGGTATAGGAGTTGCATTTTAAGCTCTTCTGCTTCATGCTGGACTTTTTTAAGATCTTTTTGCATATCACTTATGTCCACCTCACAGAACTCAACACTCTTTTCAAGATCGTCTACCTTCGTCCTCATTTTTTCCGTCTTGTCTTTCAGGTTCTGTACGTCCTTCTCCAAAAAGGCAAAAGATTCTTCGAGAGATGCTATTGATTTGTGTAAATTATCCAGACGCAGTTCAGTGTTGTCTAGCTTTTGCAATTTGTTTAATATCATGTCCACTTTCTTCCCAAGATCGTCAGCCATTGACAGCGCTGTTAGTACCTCGTCCTCTCCTTCGCTTGTGCTTGTAGAACGATTGGCTTCTTTACTTTTTTTTCCTCGGGCGAAAAGGCGTCCGACGAAGAAGATGTGGGTCGATCTTTCCTTTTTGGAGGCATCGAATTGCAAAGAATAACACGCCAAAAGGCGGAGCACCGAAGTACACGTCCTTACACCTTGACCGTTCCCAGCAAAAATATGTTAACTCAGACCCATGTAAGGAACAAAAACCATGTGTAAAATGAATAAATGACAATACCTTCCTCACGATCTCTGATTTTTGAAGTGAAAAGCACTGGGAGTGAGCTCGCCTTCGGCAGACTTCGGACTTCTTCGGGAATCTTTGGAAATGATCGTGTCATCTTCAAAAATCCCAGCACTTCCAGGATAAAAATCTCACGCTTATATCTCAGAAAAAGTTGGCAGGTATAGTTTATGGATCGAGAACTCCACTCTCTCAAATGTTTAGACCTTAAATTTGGCTTATAAAGTTCAGAATTTTTCAGACTTTTTTAGCAAAATACCTCTTAGAATCCTTCTTGATGTTCTCTTTTGTGTTCAGGTTTTCTAAAGTGTCTTTTTGTGCCCTGACATCTTCATTCACGGCATTTTAAAACTTCGTCGCCATCTTGACACTAAGATGTACGGAAGGGTTGCCATGGCAATTTTGTAATTTCACATGTGAAATTACAAATTAACGCTAAAATTTTGCGCCAAAATTAAGGAGTAATTCATCACCTATGATATTAGGACTGGAACGTGTGTTCAATGTTACCACTACATGAGAAATTTCTGCAATTTGATTGGCTTAGAACAGTGGTATTTCAGCTTAATTTGAAATACCTACATGTGAAAATTACAAACTTTTTGTGGGTAGTAGTATAAACAAATAATAGCATGATTTGTACGTGATATTTGGCATAAATACCACTCGTGATATTTCAAAATTGTTTCAAATTTCACTCGCCTAATAGCTTGTGAAATTACGAATAACAATTTTGAAATATCACTTGTGGTATTTATGCCAAAAAACACTACAAATCATGCTATTATCTATACTAATATGCTTTTGGTGAGAAATATCTGTGACTAGTTACCAAGCTGTTCTTAAGTGTGTTTTCCAATGTTCTTATCAGATAATGACATGTCGCGAAACCATCAAGAAAGTGGAGAAATATCACTGAGTATTGAAGAAACAAAGTAAGCCATAAAACATACTGATGAATGTGTACATGTAAGGGGTGACTATGGGGGAAATTTTAACTACTGCAGTAATTATTGTATTGCAATAGACCACATGGATATGTTGATAGTATTGCGATAGTGGAGGTACTATTGCAATAGTATTGTGATAGTTTTCTGGAATATCTGTTTTTAATTAATGCTTTATATTTTAAGAAATAACTGAGAAGTGGTGGTCATACAATACAGTTACTACAGGTATGCGGTTCAAGAATCAAGGCGCTAAAAGCTAAATTTGTGATCCAGACCCCTGCTTCCAGACCTGAATTAATGTAATTGAAGGGACCAATCTGTTAATAATAAGATGTCACCATGCACCAATCAGTAGGGAGCTGTAGTAACGACGAGGGTGACGGCAGTAAGAACATCAGAAAAGGAATAGGTTTAATCAGGAAAACAACAAATCTACATAATGTAGTGCAGGCTCACTTGATGAGCTTGGGAACTGGTGCGTAAAAGGTTAGCGGGGGAGGCTAAATGCGAAAAATTAGACAAGGAGGTAACCAGGCAACCGTGGAAGCGGGAACCACCCCTGTGAGCCGCCGCTAACTGGCGCCGTCACTCTGAGAAAATACTCAGTGGAAGAGATACTTACCAAGTGAAATACTTACCTGCGCACCCACATATGACAGCAGGGAGAGAGGAGAGAGAGCAAAAATCCGCAAAGATTCACTAACACAAAGCTAAAAGGTGATCTGCAATGATCAGCGAGAATAGCTTGCAAAATAAAATGCAAAAGGGTAGTGGCCCTGAAAACCCTAAATGGGCTGCCCCGCATGTCACTCATGCTAATACAGGAACACCGCTGGCAGCATTGGCTCGAGGTTAACTTAGCCTAAATAAAAATTTAGCCACTTTACATGTGATATTTCAAGTGAGTTAAATCAATGGTGACAATGTTTGAAAAAATGCAAGTCCTTTTTAGCTCATGGATGACATAGTCATGCCATGGGCTTTTGGAGGCACTCGAATGGCACTCGATCACTCACTCACTCACTCACTCACTCGATTCTCACTAATTAATTCATTAAAGTCAGATTAAACACGTTACTCCTACCTCCCTTGCTTAGTATTACTTTTTTTCCAAGTGCCTTCTATGTATATGTTTGGAATATTCTAGAGGGTACTAGGAAGGCGCATTTTTTTTCCAGACACATCAATTATAGAGATGGGTTTTGTATAAATAACAATATTTTAAAGAACACTGATAATATCATCCGCAAGAAATGGACTTAGAATTGTTAAAAGGACATTGAAATAATTGAGCGTGGATCATTGTTGCATATTTGGACGAATTGTGCACATTTGTTCCCGATATTGTACTTGATATGGAGAAGATGCGATCAACAAGAGTGTGAAAGAGCTATTGCAGCCTGACGATGGGATTTCGTTCAGCGAATAAGCCAAAGAGCCTTATAATCACTGCAAAAAAACTGTCCTTGAATTGTTAAAGCGACATTGAGGAGTATCTATTTAGGTTTATTCAGTTATTTGGACGAACCCGTTCGACCATTTGTCTTCGTATGCAAACAGGGAATGAATTAATGTTGTGTCAACTAGAAGCACAGGTTTTAGAACCAACAAGCGTTACGTTGTTTTGCTTGAATTCTTAGGTGATCTTTGCCTTAAAGTAGGCTTTTGTTTGTCGGTGATTCCATTTAGTAGTGAAATGCTGCGCTGGTATAAACAAGTCTCTGGCAAAAGGCAATCGGATACTTCGTCTACGTTTAAATTATTTGGCTAGGTCAGAGCACGTACTGCTTTGAGCTTAACCCGTTTTACATGTATTAAAATAATTTTTAGCTCGTGTTTCTCAAAAGCGCGTTCTAAAGCAGTTCAATTTAGCCATAAACGCCTGTATTCTGTATTTAATATAGCTCATACTGCGTATACTAACCGTTATGTACTCATCATATGGAAACATTTATTTGAAAGCATCGCACTTTTAAAACCACGGTTTAAATAAAACTCATGTATGTAAAAGTTGGCTACAAGAAAGTGCACTGTCCTTCGGAAAGTGTTTGACAGTCACATGAGAAAGCAAATTATTTTACAACTAAAAAGCGTTACCGGTACTTAATAATTGCTTTCAAAAGTGATCTTAGTTTGCATGTAAGTAGAAATGCTGCACTGATAAAAAGTTTCTAGAATATTCAGGTACACATGCAATCGGATACTTCGAGTCACGCTGTATTTTGGCAAGTCCGTACACCATTATATGTTTTTCTTTGATTATGGAACTGTCTTTTCTACACTAATTCAATTCATCCATGAGCTCGCTCCTAGGAGCCTTTGATTAACCCATTCGCTCCTGGAGATTTTGCCGAAAAACGCGTTTTGAAGCTAGTCGAGTGGTTTTCTGGTCACTGTCGTGCTATAAGGGAAAATTCATTTAATATGACAAGGGGGGGGGATGAAGATATTGAGGGGGGGCTCCGAAAATTTTTAGACACCCGAAGGGGGGGCTCTGAAAAAATTGTTCCGCTAGGAGGGGGGGCTCTGAAAATTTGTATACTTCTAAACCAACACATGACATCATCATACAGATCGGATGGTTTTCAACTCAACAATTTAATGACCTGTGCAACTCAGCTATATCACGTGGTTTACAGATATAACAAATGTAGTCTCAGTAATTATTACACTCTTGTTCATCCCAAAAATGCTTTAGAAAATTGTATCACAACTGTATCTCAAGTTTGTCATAGTATAAATCATTGAAGACAATAACGGTAAATATATTTAATACAGTCTAGCGATCTTTTCTCAGGGGAGCAAAGGAATTGAAGGAGGGGGGGGCTCTGAAATTTTTTCCACTACCAAGGACGGGGCTCCTAAAAAATTGAACCGCTAGCGAGGGGGGCTGCTAAAATTTTAAGCTTCGAGTTTCAATATCTTCATCCCCCCCCCTTGTCATATTAAATGAACTTTCCCTAAAGAGCTAAAACTTACCACAAACCAGTTTACAGGTGGTACACTTGGCGGCCTTCTGATCCAGATGCAAAATATCAGCTTGCGAAGTTCGGGCATGCGCAGAAAGCAAAATTTCGACATAGTTTTTGGGTTTAAAAGTGACACAGCAGTCTTGACTTTTACTTTTCGCTTTCTCTCCTCCCTTCTTTTTTCGCTTTTCTTGCCTCATTTTTTTTTTCTCTTGCTGGGCATTTAGTAGGCTTCATTTTGGTGGGAAGAGTTTTTAGGAAAGCTTTTAGGATCTTAGGATTAGGTGAAAGGAAAGGTAGGTGGGTAATGGAACAAGATTTTCATGGAGATTTTCAGGTCCTTGTCACGTGGTTTTTTGCTTCTTTCTCCGGTGTCCTTGACTGAATTGTGCTCATTCTGGTATGGTTTGAAAGATCTCTTCACTCTGCACACATGTGCGAAGAAAGTTGTCCTTGACCGTCAAAACTGATGACGTCACAAAGGGTAGAAAGGACCTGGATCCGCACGGGCGGTTACGGGCGGTTCAGGGACGAATGGGTTAACAGTGAAATTTTCCCTGCCTGTTGCCATCATCATTGCTAAAGCACCCTGTGGTAGATCACAGATTGGCAAAACATCTCAAAATCTTCAAAATGTTGTAAGAAAAACCCTGCTTGCCCCATTTAGGGTTGGAGAATCTTGATATTTTTTTATAACCTCATTTCTATGATCTATAGATTCTGAAGTGTTTGTCTTGTTTTGAGCTATAACCAAGTTGTGCGGGCGACAAGAGGAGCCCATAATCCTAATCTGCAGGTTGTTATGACTCATGCGTCGCATGTCTGTAGCCAGCATTCATTTGGAATTCCACTAAGAATGAATGGAATGCACCAAATGCAATTTTGTCGTAGACGTTTGGACCTTCTACCATTGTAATCTGATACCATGTATTTTAAGGTGAAATTCACTTAAAAGTACAGTGCTGGAGCAAAAGCATTAGCCTGCATTTGGACCTCCGATCGCTGTCACCTGCACTCCGTAACCTTTGGTTATTACTAGTGCTATATATTCCGGTACTCTAATGTTTTACTGTTACTGGGGCATAGGTTGTCAATTGTTTCAGTGAGTTTGACATTGTTACAGTATTCAATGGTTTGTTGTATCAACGTGCCACTGTACTGACCAATTTATGGTAATACTTTTCAGTAAGTTAAGAATCAAACTTGGACTTAAGCCACTTGAAATCCCTGATTCATCAACAGACACAGAAGGTAAAGTACATCTCTGCACAATCTATGTTACAGGTTGACGTTTTTTAACCTACTGTGTAGGTTGATTATCAGTTTCCTTTTTCGGCACAGACATGATCTAATCCTGGCTATTACTGTCTGTGAAGCAGCAATAAGATCCCTCAAATCTGATTGGCAAATTGACGATGGCTTTTTGAACAGACCAATCATTGCACCTACGCAAATCCTGATACACAGGCAAGGGTCCAGAAAAAGGTTTTCAGTCCTGCCTTGCAGATGGACTTAACCAGAGATTTAGTTTCATCTCTGGTGCAGGCCACTAGTAAGGACTGGCTACAGATAGAAGGCAATAGAAATTGAGAATCAACTTACAACCCTGTAGCCAAAGGTACATTCAAAAGTCACCTCAAATCAAATTTGACCTGTAACAAAATACGCCATCTTACATCTTCAATTAATTTTGTCAATTTTGTTGCAAGTACATGTATAAAGTTATTAACCCATTTGCCTCTGAGCTGCCTGTAACCACTTGTGCGGATCCACGTTCTCTCTACTGCTTGTGATGTCATCAGTTTCAATGGTCAAGGACAACTTTGTCTGCTAACTTGTGCAGAGTGAAGGGATCTTTCAAACCATACCAGAATGAGCACATCCTATCCTAAGATCGTAAAAGCTTGCCCAAAAACTTTTCCCACCAAAATGAAGCCTACTAAATGCCCAACAAGAGAAAAAAAAATGAGGCAAGAAAAGCAATAAAATAGGGGAGGAGAGAAATTTTGCTTTCTGCACATGCGCGAACTTTGCAAGCTAATATTTTGCATCTGGATCAGAAGGCTGCCAAGTGTACAACCTGTAAACAGCTTTGTGGTAAGTTTTAGCTTTTTATAGCACGACAGTGACCAGAGAACTGCTCAACTAGCTTCAAAACGTGTTTTTTGGCAAAATTTCCAGGAGCAAATGGGTTAATGTACCAATTAGGTTTGAAAATTAAAAGAAAAGTCAAATTAAAAGTTTCAGCTCTTTGCAATCATTAACAAAGAAAATAGCAGCAATTAAAAGCTGTAAAATTACTGGGTAGCAAAATGTTAATGAGCTTTGTTTGTAAGCCTATGCTAATGAGGCAAAAACTGTAAACAAGGACCTCGCCATCAAAATAACTTAAGCGTAGAACTTATTCATGTAGTTGGTCATACAGATGTACATTGTACAGAATGTATGATATCCTGAAACCTTTAAAGTCAACTTTTTCTTTCAATCCTGCTGAGGCAAAACCACTTCGTCTAAAGAAGATGTTCATGTTCCTGCAGCCAACATGTCTGACCAGAAAGAAGCTGAAAATGTAAGTGTGTTGTTTTAGTTGCCATAACTTTGCTTACAGTTGTACTATATGTACATGTAAATGTAAAATTGTACATAAAGATATGCTAATTTAATGAGGATTCCGGTAACTTTTGAAATAATAAGTAGGTCAGAGTTAGGAAAAAATGGTGGGAGTTTGAGACAGTTATTATAATAAGCGATTTTCATATGACCTTGAAAAATGGTTTCAGTAAGTGTACGTTATTTGTTTTAACAGTCAATGGATGAAAGATCAAAGCAGGGCCTCTTCATTTTCCACCAAAGAAAACCCTAATATGGAGAGGGCATTGTTTGATTGGCCAATCATGTTGCAGTGTGACATCACAGCAAAGTATCGGTTGATTTCCAGCAAGTTCTCGGGCATGAAGGTTTTTTTCAGCCGAGTGTTCCCTTAACCAACCAAAAGCCACCCGCATTTTGTATCTATTCGATAAACCAATCAATTCGCTCTATTTCCATTCTTTTGTTGTTTCTGTATTGTTCGCGCATTTTCATCTCAAGGTCATACGTAAATCGCTCTAATAGACCCCTCCATGGTTGTTTTCAAAATTTTGACTAGGACCAGTGAGCGATAAACTGTCAACATGGCTGGAAAGAACGCCGTAAAATCTGTAAAGCTGCCAGATTTGAAAGTGATTTTTTGGAAACTAACAAAGACATTGCTCTGCAAAGTCATGAAAATTTACAGGCATTGGTATGGTGGGTGGCCAGACGTTCCCCCTACACACACAGAGACCACCAGCATACGTACAAATGTCAGCAAAAATTTTGCAAGTTGGTGGAGAAAATAATAATTATCTTTGCTTGCTTTTTGGGCATATCACCTTTGGATTACTGACTTACATGTGCTAGTCAAAAGTTGAAAGAAAAAATGTGGAAGGTCTATTGTAGTACCTGTAAGTATTAATGTAATAGTTAAGACCCATCCATGTAGGTACATGTTGAACTTTGAGTAAGGCAAATTCTCTAAAATAGAACTAAATTCATGATTCTTTCTCTCCCTTTTCCTCCCATTTTCTCCTGTTGAACCCAGACATGGCTGAGAGAGTTTGCTTACAGGCTACATGTGTATGACCACTGATTCTCCATGATGATTTTTTTTCGCTTGACGTCTTTTGGTTCTGCTTTGTACATTGTGCATTTATTGTGTGGAATTGTCAAGGAGAACTGATAATTACGAGAAGAATCAAATTATTGATCTTTCCTGGAAAATTCATAGTTTATACACCTTCATGTACATGTTCCCTGTTAGTGTTTCTGCATAATGTCTTGTTGCATGAAGAACGAGACACATCCAAGTAAAATTTAATTCTGTCTTTTTATACACTATGACAATAATATTTAGTTTAAAAGAAAGCTGGAAGAAATGAGAGAAAAGAGGAGAATAAACAAGAAACTAGGGTGAGTTTAATAATAGGAATTCAAGAGTAGTTAAATGTCAATCTGAACAAAAGTTACAGGAGAATAAGTATGTATGTATACACATGTGATTCTCATGAACATGTACATTACATGTAGTTGCACAAAAAATTATGATTGCTTGGTCTCCTTTCACATTATTAATTTTTATTGATCTGTGAAGGGGAGAAAAAATTCCATTATTGTTGTAGAGGTGAACCTTTGACTTACTTTTGCATAACCAACGCTTTACTGTTTGAACTGCACACCAAGGTGTTATAGGTCAAAACTTAATTGTAGTTATTTGTGGTGTTTTTCTCCTAGCTCTAATATGTATTAATTATTAATTATCTGTGATTTAGGGCTAGGACACAAAGGAAATTGATGATCAACCTTAATTGAAAGATTTCAACCTAAATTATTAAATTATGAGCTATAATATAAATTATGCACAAGACCAGCTGGAAGTACAAATGTAGGCCATGAAATATCTCTTCATTACAGCTGTAGGTGGAACATGTCCTTGGTTCTTGATCAAATACTTGTACAAAATAGTAAAATAAAATCATTACTACAATCTATACTGTCTCTTTTGTCATTGTTATTAAATTTATCTTGCAAAAACTTTCCATCAAACTGTGGCTTGTATCTTTTCTTGCATAGTAAAGTAAAAAGTCTGGGTGCAGCAGATAGTGATGATGATGATTCCGCTGCTTCTTGGGTGGCCAAGAGCAGGAAGAAGGAGAACGTAAAAAGCCTGACTGAGAAACGAGTAAGTTATGATCATAGTTCGTACAGTCTTGAAAAGGTCTTGAATGTAGTCGTCTTGAAAAGTCCTTGAATTCGGTTAATTTATTTACATTTGGCGGAGCTAGCGCTGGAGAATGCTACAAAACGATTGCTTAGTAACCACGCGTTTATTTGACGAGGGAAGTTCGGGAAACGTTCGCTTTCGCATCAGCTGTGCGTGGATATCATGTTTATAAACACGTATGGAAACCATCGATCGGGGAAAAGCTTGTTGCTAAACGAGAGTTTAACAACCCAATGGACAAACACGCCGTGAAAGTAGTGAAGGACGACGAAACGGTCGGCCATTTGCCTCGCGAATTCTCTCGAATAACGTGGTATTTTCTTGCACGTAGTGGGGAAATCAGCGTTGAAGTGATCGGTCGCAGACGACACTGTAAGCAGCTGTGCGGAGGAATGGAGATTCCGTGCCAGTTAGAGTTTAACTGCTCAAACAAAGCGCAGATGAAACGCTTAAAAGAACTACTGGCGAGCAAGATTCAGGTATAGAACCTGCAGATGCAAACAAACGGCTCCTTTAGGAGCCACCACTTCTACTGAAAGCAATGATCAACGACAGGTTTCAATATGTTTAATCTTTATCTACTGAAGGTCTTCAGTTCAATTTGTGACCCCTACAAGCCAGTTTACTCCCTTTGAGAGCAATGGTCTCGTGTATAAGCCGTACCCGCGATTTTTGACTCAAAATTTCGGCAAAAAGGTGCGGCTTATACACGAGTTTTTACGGTAATATTGTAATTCTATAAGAATAATTATAATATCATTGTGGTCTATAGCTTCCATGAGAGCAACCACTAGCCTCACCCAGGTTTAACCAGACTGTAGGTAAAAAAGGGTTGTTGACTTTTCGACATAATTACAATGTAAATAAAATGATTTTTCTCCCTTAGGCTAAATTACTGGCAGAAATGGATGAGGAGTTTGGGATAAGTGACCTGGTAGAGGAGGAATTTGGATCTCTTACTAGGCCGACAAGACAAGTAAGGATATTCAATACAATTCTTTATAAACCACTCACATTATCATCAAAAGTGTATGTAGAACTGCAGTTGGAGGCAAACTTGGAAAAAACTAGTCATACGTGATTTCTGATCAAACTGCTCAACTCTCCTTTTATTAATCTCAGTGAGAGATCAAGAGTTCATTTAGAACCTATATATCTTCCTTGCACCTTTTGAAGAAATTCATTAGGCTAGTAAGTTCAAATAATTATCTATTCAAATGTTCTTAAAGCATAGCTCGAATGAAAATGCTGACAGCGGTCTTTAACACCTTCAG